AGGGGTGGGTCTGGGTAGAGGGGAGGGTTTCGGGTCAGGAGCTGGGTTCTGAGGAGGCTGAGGGAAGGGTGTACACATCAGGCAGGGTGTGGGGAGGGGCTTAGTGGGTGGCCTTCAAGAGTGATGATGAGGGGTAAGAGTGGATGGAGCTGGGTGCTTCTGCAGGGGTGGGAGCGTAAAGGGAGAGGGAAGGTGATGATTGGGGTCTCCATAGGGTTAGGCCCAGGTCTCTAGTATTAGACTGTTAGGGTTCAGGGGCTTGGTGGGAAGGTGGGAAATTAGAGTCTAGGGCTCTGGGAATGGAAAAAGAGGTACAGAGGGGAGGTCACAATTAGGGCACAGAGGAGCCAGGAGAGGACCATTAGAAGCTATAGGTCACTGGGATGAGACTAGGCAATGAAGAGGGATATTCAAGCTGAGCACAGCTGAGGGGTGGAAAGAAAATCTAGGGTGGCAAGAGTTTTGATGGAGGTCCAGTCTCCTGGGCAAGGGATGCCCAAGGGGGCCTGAGAGGTGGTGATATGGTCTTTCAGGACATTAGGGGTGGACTGTGCAGAGTAGGGGTGGGAGGAGCACGGGGAGCTCCAGGGAGACAGAGAATGTGGCTTTTCTCTGACATAGAAGGGGTTCGCCTGGTCTGTTGTTGTTAGGGAAGGGGCAAGGTGGAGGTGAGTGCATGGGACCAGAACTAGGCCTGGGAGGGGTTCCCAGGGGGCTGAAGAGCAGTGAGAAGGTGGTTGGACAGGCTCTCTGGAAACTGATGGTGCCTGGGCAGGTCTGTGAGGCAGGGGGTCCCCGGGAGATGCAAGCTGGGATCCGGACAGTTTGGAGAATGAAGGGGGCTGGGGAGGGCCTGAGGTGTGGTGTTGGCGTCAAGGGCCTCTTTGGACTTGTCAGCAGTGGGGTGTGGTCTGCCCTGACGATGGGGAAGGGAGGAGGGACAGCATGGCGGATCACCCAGGGGGCCTGAGAGGAGGTGAAGAGGTGAGGGGCCAGGTCCCGAACACAGGCGGTAAGTGAGCCATTGGAGGGGACATGGGGGCCTTCAGAGGCCTGCAAAACCTAGTCGGTGAGTGGGGAGGGGTGCGGGGTGCACAGGTCATCCCCAGGGGGCCTAAGCAGGGAGAGTTGACTCGTGGGGCCGTCAGGACACTGAATGCTGACGAGCGAGCCGGGCGGGGCGGGGCAGAGTCGCAGGTCCCCGCAGCCGGGCGGGAGGCCGAGGGGCGGGCTCACCGGGCAGCAGGTCCGGGCGGCCGCCGCGGTGCACCAGCAGGCTGAGCTGCAGCACGAGCTGCGGCGCGCTGCGCAGGAAGGCCTCCAGCAGGCGCAGCATGCTCACGTCCGCGCTCTCGAACAGCATCCGCCAGTAGAAGTGGCGCCGGAGCCGCTCCCCGCGCCAGCGGCTCTGCAGCCCCAGGTACATGGTGCGCAGGTACCTGCCGGAGGCACGCGGCGCTCAGGCACCCGCTCGGACCCCGACCCCTGCCACGCAGAGCCTATTACCACGAATGGAAAATGGGCATTGTGAAAAGGCCGCCCCTGGGGCTGGGGCTGGGGCGCCCCCACGGGCTCTTCAGCTTAAAGCCGTGGCACAAAGTAAGCGCTAACACAGAGGCGCCACCGTCATTATTGCCCTGGCACAGTGGGGCCCGCTCTCGTCCGCGGGTTCCTGACACCCTATAGTGCCCTGAGCTGACAAGAGCCCTCTTATTAGCCCTATTTTATTATTATTATTTTTAATATATATCTTTTATTGATTTCAGAGAGAGGAAAGGAGGGGGAGAGAGATAGAAACATCAATGATGAGTCATTGATTGGCTGCCTAGCCCCAAACCCCGCCATGTGCCCTGACCGGGGAATTGAACCCCGATCGCCTGGATCCTAGGTCGATGCTCAACCGCTGAGCCACGCCCGACTGGGCTTATTAGCCCTATTTTAGAGGTGAGAACACTGAGACCCAGAGAGGTATGGCCTTTGTCCAAGGTCATACAGCTAGGAAGCGGTGGAACCAGCTTTCGCACCCAGGCAGCCTGGCTTGGGGGCTCACTCTAACCACGAGGCAGCTCTGCCTCCTCCCGCCTGCCGTGAAGAGTTCGCCCACACAGGGGCAGTTCTGTGCCAGCGCCCAGTTCGGTTGCCACCTGCAGCTTTCTGGTGTGGTCCCAGCCCCACCTCTGAGTGCTCAGCCCTCCCCTCAGGGCACAGGGAAGCTGCCTAGAGATCCCCTGGCATGTGAGGCTTCGATGCCACTTCTCATCATTTCTCCCAACAAACGTCTGGCCTCCAGCTACTCAGCACAGGCCACAGAGTCCAGCTCACGATCCTCCTGCTCATCACTGGGCTTTCGCATCTGCCATTCCCTGTGCCTGGAGCACCCCGCCCTGTCCCCCACCCTATCCCACTCCAGCTCCCAACCTGGATAATTCTTGCTTTTTCCCCAAGGTTCGGCTTATAAACATTTCTTCCAGGAAGCCTCTGCCGGCCACACTCCACTTGGAGTAGGGGCCTCTCCAAGGCTGCCCTCCAACCCAGCACTTTTCGCAGTGGGTTGTAACTGTCTGCTTATGCACCTATCTCCCCCAGACTGTGAATCTCCCCGACTGTGAACTCTGTGGGAATGATTAAATCGGCTTGCTAACTGCTGTATTTTCAATTCTTAGCACACAGTAGGTACCCAATCTGTGTGTTGCCTGAATGAATGCCCGAATGACCGAAAGTTTGTTTAACTGAATGGAGCTCTGGTAACCCAGTGGTGGGGCATGAAGGGATCCTGAAGTCCTGAGTTCAATTCCTGACTTTGTTATGTAACCTTGAGCAAGAAGACCCTCTCTGAGCCTTGGCTGTGAGGGTTAAATGGATAATTTGCAACTATAAACTGCAGTGCCCACTGGGTGACAAGGGACCTGTCCACACAGATCTCTGGGTCTGATTTTTCCTCTCTGCCCTGGTGCCTTGCCCAGCAGCTCCACCCCTGGCTGTTGCAGTCATAGACACTGGCCTTCCAACACCCAAATTCTCTGACTCTGGTTTGTTGAAACCAGAGAGGGCTCTTCTAGAAGTGATCTCCCCAGAAACCAGGAGAGAAAAATCCCAACATATTCAATGACCTTACTGCTTGAATCAGAAATTGGGGAGCCAGAGATTTCCCAGATACAGGGTGCTGGCATTTTCAGAACATTGTTTGGAGGCTAGCAGTATTTAACTGTGTGTAGCCAGCCCAAGGGAGGAACCACAGTGCTCCCTGGAATTTGGGATCAACTGACAGACCCAGAGTTTCCCCAATGAGTACCCTGGTCTTGGCAATGGTGTGGCCCTCTCTGGGCCTCAGTTTCTCCATCAGCCAACAACAGGGATGGGTTTGATGACTCTGGAGATTCTTTCAGAGCAAATGTTCTGGGACTCAAACTCTTCCCTGAAAAAGTGGCTGGAAACATCCCATTTTTGGCTCTCTTTCCTATCCCTGGTCCCTTTGTGTAATGCTGGAATTCCTTTATCAATTCCCAGCCCTATGCATTACACACTTTTGTGGTAGGGAATCCCTACCTCCTGAGGCAGGACCTTCTGCTTCTGAGCAGCTCCAGACAGTGTTTCTTTGATGAGTGGAAATTTGTCTCCCTGTATCTTTCATTCTCTGGGTCTCTGCCTACCCCCCCCCCCCC